TTGTTTCTATCCTTCTGGGGAGCGTGTCATCACTCCCTGGTGCTTGGATGCATTGGCTGTGGTTCGTCGCGGTTGATTGGCCTTGTCCGTTATGAATGATTATGAACAAGTGGTATTTGTTCCGTTTTGACTGCAACTTGCATTTTAATTCCGATTTTTTTTTGTGGTGCATGTGCATGCGCATATATCATTCCCATCCTTTTTGTGTCCCTCTGACGGCGGTGTGTCGTGGTTATGACGTCAAGTTCAACCACATCTCCTACTCCATTCTATCGCTCATCACTAAATCTGCCTTATCCTTCCAACGGGTCAATCCGTCCCAAGTTACCCCAACTATCGCAAAAAGACGGATCATCAAGATTACAGCGAGCACAAATATACAATACAAGTGTACTAAGTAGTCAATTATAGTTTAGCATGAGAGTTCCTAAGCTGTGTAATCATAGACGTCACCAGCTACAAAAAATACATTTCTACTGCCTTGCGATCCAACAGTAAACGGGACTGCTTGTCCACACTTTCCAAGTTATCGGAAATAGTGATTTGATTCATGGATGCGCCCTTCACCAATTTACTGAAAGGCTGAGGAATCCAGGTGAGCTTTACGTCTTGCCCCATGCAAAGCCAGCCATCGACAAGCTCCAGATCCTGCATCTTTAGTCCGTGTTTGACAGCTTCAGGTCATTACCACAGTCCTGCTGTAAGCCGCAAAAATAAAATGAATGTGAATGACTACTCACCGTTTTGAAAGATATTTTCTCGGTAGGCCCGTGGCAAAGGGGGACTGGCACCAGAATGGGATGACTTTCTTGCTGCAGAGGGTTCATGGACGACGAGACCCCCGTGAAAAGAAGTCATCACCAAACCATGGTGTCCGAGTACCCTCTGAATTCCAGGGTCAGAAATGTTAAGAGGTATTGCAACAACGAGTTGCAAGGTCGAGCGATCGATAAGACGGATCTCTCTGTCGAGTGCCACGATAATGCATGTGGATTCGGTGTTATCAAAGCCCGCAGAACCCCCACCCAGATCTTGTTCCCAGAGGTTGTCAGCGTTCCCGATCGAGTCCCCCCAAAGGCAGCAAAAGGATTGTGATGGCAGGGATTGTGTCTGTGTGATGGTTATAACGTGGCGCTGGTCTTTGGACCATACGATCTCGGTGATAGCGAATGGCTCTGAACGAACATGCTGAAGAGTCCTCATAATGGATCCGGGGTCAATATTCATACCATACACCTCAACGACTGCTGTATGGGGATGAGTTGGGCCGGGTCCGAAAAACGTTGCAATTGCTCTGGGCTTGCAACCCACGGCAAGCAGTTCATTATCGGGTGAAATTGCCATCAATGATATCTCGCCGCGAGTCCGGAACGATGTAGAAGCAGCCTGAATCTTTGATGTCGACAGGTCCTGGAAGTACAAGTGACTCTCTCGCGTGTATATGGCTAGTGAAGTCTCGTCTGGTGTATAACATATTGAACGGACGGGGCCTTCAAGTTCGAGCTGCATGAGAAATCTGTCCGAGATATTTGGATCGAAGACTGAAACACGGCCCTTCTTATTCATGAATGTGAAATGATTCTTGCTAGGCAGAGCCAAGAACTTCTCGAAAATGATTGGATCGCGGGGGAGTTCGAACGTCTTGAGGTGTGCACCCGTTTCTGTGCTCCATAGTTTCATCGAGACAGAGGTCTGAGCATCGTGTAGAGAGGTGAAGACGGGGTAGTCATTTGCGTAACCGAAGTTCAGTGCATTAGCACAATCTGGAATGACGAATTTATATGCCCAGCTGGTGCCGAGCCCTGATTTGACGACTTCGTCATGGACGTAAATTCGGTGGATGATACTTGCGCTGGGGGTGAGAAAAGCAAGACGGTGCACGAATATACCACCCTCCTGGATTGGTTTTCGGAAAATATAACGAAGCGAACGGCATCACATATGATGCTGTGTATGAAGTCGCCGCGCGATCCCTGCGTCTAAATCAGATTAAGAACTTGACGGAGGGGAGTTTGACGTACCAGATGCAACAATACAGACCGAAGGAGCTGGAGTTGCTTCAAACCATCATCCACGCGTCCCAGGAGGCTTAAGAGCTCAATCCAACTGAGTAAGTGGGACAGCAGGAACGTTTGAAGCTCCAGAAGGGCGGCACCGTGGTCCTCATGCGGTGTTTGTAGGTTAGGGACAATACATTCTGACCAGCATGAACTGAGCAGACTTAAAGTCGCAGGTACATGTGTTCGGAGTCGGTGGTTGAGGTCCATTATATCTCTATTGAGTTTGGTGATTTCTTCGAAGCGGCAGATATTAGGCATCAGCGTCATATTGAGGTACTTGAGCGCGAGAAACGGGAGAGCCCTCTGCTGACCAAGACCCTCGCGGGGAATGGATTCGAGAATGTCAGGGGGTATTCCTTCGAGATTGAGAGTGCTGACAGGTTTTTGAACCCAGAAAGAAATCCCAGGATCCACTACACCCTTGAGCTCAACAAATAATACGTCGAAGGGCCAGTTCCACCTCGATGCCTGGATGGCCACAAAACATGCGTATGATTCAAAGCGAGGCATCAACTCTTGAGGGACGCGCTGCTGGGCTTGGTTCAGTAGAGGCTCCAAAAAGGCTGCCAGCTTTTCCCTATGAGTAATCCACCTGATTTCTGAGAGTAAAAAATTGGATGTGGGTTTAACTTTTGGACATGGCCTCCATGAAAGATCCAATCCGGCACAAGAATAAACAACGTTCATTCCGGTTTTGAGGTCCTCCAATCTGTTGAGCAAGTCCAATCCTTTATTGTCTCCGGAAATATGTCTCCAGAACGAGTTCATGATGACAATGGATTTGGTATCCCCGCCAGTGTGCCAGAGTCGCAAAGAAGTACTTGTGAGGCGGATGAGCGGATTCAAGAGCAGTGGTTAGGGACCAACAGTTATCAGGAATTTGATGTTGCGAGGAATGTGCCCGAGAATTTGACGAGCGCCCAAGGTCTCCACGAACCTCAACTGATCTGTGCACCAGTCAAGACCGTCGATCACAATCAATACGGGGCCAACTAGTGTCAGAGACTGAAGGGGGTGAATCAACAAGTCTTCGAATTGTCGATCAAGATGAGTACTACTAAGGGCAAGAGATGGCGACCTTGCAAGTACGTCGGCAATGGTCTCGGCAAATGTTGGGTGTAACGCAGCCAGTTCCCGGGTAATTGTAGAGACAAGGCACTTGCAGGAGCGTTCTACACTTCCTGCAGCTTTTGGGAAGAAGACGGCCGATCCAAGACGCTCTTGAGCATAGAAGCGCTCGCACATTTTGTGTGCAATCAAAGACGCCTCCTCCTGTGATTCACCGACCAAGATAGAGACCAGTCGTTCGTCAGGATGTTGTGCCCAGATTGTTAAACCATCGAAGACTTTTTCTTGCTCTACCGTCAACTCTGTTCGGATACGCCTCCATCCGGTGTTTTCAATCAAGGGTAAGTGTTGCAGATGGAGGAGGGTCTCTATTCGTGGTGTCATTGAGGCTCAAAACAAGCTGAAATTGACCCTCACAGATATTTCTGACCTTGTTCAGAACCAACAAGACCGTGTGGGTAGACTGCAATGTCGAACCCATCAAGAACTCTATCCGTAATTGAGTAAACTTTTGATTGAAGTTTGCAATAACCCCATCCACGTCGAGAATGGCACCTTCGAGCGCTCGGCGTACTAGATTATCTGTTAGCACAGAAGGCGAGAGTATCTGTCAGCACCTACCGAATGCTTTCTGCTTGTAACTAGCAATAAAATATGCACACTCAATAGTCATGCTCACAAGTCGCTGCAATGTGAGTTCGAATGCTTTGATCTTGTCGAAATTGGTGGCTCGGATGTGATAGTAGATGCTTGACATGGATTCCGTTAAATCCTCGACACATTCGTCCCGCTCGACTTGCTGAATTACTAACTTTCGGGTATTTTGAGGATGTTATCCTTCCGTGTTACTTTGAATACAGCGAAAGCATACCTTAATTGCTGCACAGACGGCACCGACGGCGCACTTTGGCTGAGGAATTGAGCTAAAATCGCGCATAATCAGCGTAATCTACGATACTTGTGATCGTACCTTCACGAGGTCCTTGGTGGTTTTAACCAAACCATCTAGTGACGAAATTACGCAAGCCCATTGGGGCGGGACTAAGACATCCGCATCGTCATCAAAGACAACCTTGCGGATGATATCTGCACTGTTGAGAGTTCTCCAAGACAGGCTAAGTGGTTTATCTGCCTCGGTCCGCAGCTTGTGGGTTTTGACGACCTCGATGGTGTAGCGAAGGAATCCAACAGCCTTCTCCCGTCCAGGCCGCGATAGGGCTACTTCGATTATCCCCGCTTGAGCCCTCGATATCGTTCCTAAAACGTCACAATCTTCGACTACTCCAATGGTGTGGTCGTTTGAGTCTTTTTTGTGTTTGCAAATGACTTCAAACCTCAAATGGGACTTTGCCTTGACGTTGCTTTGAGAAGGTGTTCAATGGAATGCAGATGAATTTTTTAAATCAAACTTACACCGCGAATTCTTCATTCCACAAGACATGAGTCGAGGCCCTTGTGACGAACTTTTCTTCGCCAACAACTACTTTCACACAGAACGAAGGCCTGCTGAATCGATGGCCATGAACGAAGTCTCTTCCATTGAGGACTAGATGACGCGTCATTATGCGGTAGCATGGGACGGTGACACTCTAAATCTTACCCGTGAGCTTGCAGGCGATCACTGACTGATTAAACTGTCCAGACATGTCAAAATGGTCATCGCCTCAGAGGACAATCCTTCTCGAAAACCTTACCTCGTCGACGCCATTTGCGGCTGGAAGACTGAACGCTAGGGCCGGTGTCGGGCGGTGTATGGGGACATCGCCATATCCAAACCCAGGCAAAGAACCCTTCCGCGTACTAGTACATCAGCTTTGAACCCTTCTGGTTTGCTTTTTGCTGACCTGTTGTACAAAACTCAAACCAAAAAGCTGGTTCAATCCAGGATCGAACTGGAGACCTTGTGTGTGCACTATGTGTGAGACACAAATCATAACCACTAGACCATTGAACCAACATCACTTCGCCAAACTTTGCGTGTCCGGATGCAGCACGGTCCATCATATGCACATGCGTTCCCATATAAAATAGGGATTTTATCTTATTTTACAAGACAAACTATGGCAGTGCGATGTGTAGAATTAGGAGGGATGAAATATAGAGGAGGTAAAGAGAAGAATAGCGCTGACAGCAGAAGAATAACATGATTCGCTTCAAATCAAACAAATACCAATTATGTACACTCCTCAGGAAAAAAAGAGGACTAAAACGGGCGCGAGCGCGTAAAACGTCGCAGGATAAGAGGAGGGAAACACAGAAGCAGGATGAGGACTGAGGGAAGAAAAACCTAATCGCAAATACTTGAACACATCAAAAGATCGCAGAGCACTAAAAAGACTATATAGGGGGAGCAACATGGAGAAAGATGAGGGATTTAATGGAAAGAGGGTAAAAAGGGAAGGGCTCGAAGCGATGTTCCACCAGGCCAAATCACGGAGGTAGAACGACGCAATATGAACAGAGAAGGAGAAGGAGAGGAGAGGAACTGGGGAACAGCCAGAACCACAGCTTACGCTCAAGCGGGTCCATTCCGTCGTCGTTTTGCCCTCCCGATCCTTTTCCGTCTTTTCAATGCCGGATCCGGTCCCTCCAGATCATCAACATCCATCCCAAACGGTTCCCCTCCTCTCCCATCGCCGCCATCCCTATCCCTATCCCTCTTCGACGGAACCTGCACTCTATCCTTCAACGACTGCGACTGCAGCAAGTGACTAGATTCATCCATCGACACAAACGAGTCCCCGTTCTGCTGTAATGACAACCTCGCCAACAATGATGCGCTGGACCTCTTGGGACTTAGCCGTCGATTCGGAGGATCAGGTAAGGAAGGTGGAGGTGGCGGTAAGCCTTCGCTTCTGTCTGGCCTTCGTTCCCGTTCACGGGGATAGTGGTTTACCTGCGGCGGCGGTAAATCATCTTGCAATCGATCATCCAACCTGATAGGTTCATCCTGCCTTGGAGGAGGTTGCCTCCGTAGCTTGATAGGCTTTGAAGCTCTCGGATTGTAATCCCTCATATCCGTTTCCGGTCGTTCAGGCAAACCTGTCCGACCATCGTACGAATGAGAATGCAAATGTGGAGGAGGGTGTGAATGGGAATCTTCATTAGGCGGCCAGCACCCTCTCCTATCCGGATCGACATCATCTTGCTGTCTTCTTCGATCGAGATACCTATTCGGTCTCTGATCATCATACCGCGGGTCATCTTGGTACGACTCCACAGGAGGCAAGTCACGATTCCCTCGAGGATAGTCGTCGTATCGAGCGACGTAGACATCATTAGGATGTACATGTTCCTGAGCTCGACGACCCAGAGGTTCATGATCGTTGGGCATACGACGGCCATCATCTTGCGATCGTCCACGAGGGTGACGAGAATCATCAGGATAAAAGGGTGGTGGTCGTGAATGGTCCGGACGATAGGAATCAGTCCAGCGGTTGGCCGGTGGGGGTGTATTGGGTCGTGGAGGAGTTATCGGTCGAGCACTCTGACTTAGATAGGCACTGTGGGGAGGCAAGTCTCTTGGTGGGGTTCCATCTCGTCGGCCCCAAGATCGGCCAGTGGCCGAGAGTGGCACATCCCTCGAGTGCGGTTCGAACTGCATAAAATCCTTCAACGTCAAGCGTCAATACCATAACATAATAACAGTACTCACATCAGGTACCCTGTCAATAACACGGAGTGAGTCATCGCTAAGATAAGGCGTCGATGACCGGGGCTATTCACACTATAAGCATTGCAACGAATAATCAAACTCTGGGGAGAAAAGCACCTGAGGCGAAGGGGGACCTGCCCTATTCCTTGAATAAGGTATGTAGGTATCTAACTCCGGCCTCTGTGGCCTAGATCCCTACAAAATTTCCACTTTAGCAAAACCCAACGCAACACATCTCGAGAGCATACCTTTCCACGACCCGGATTATGTGCATAAGGAGGGTCATGCATCGGAGGGTACCTTGCGTTCTCGGAATCGGTGGTTGAGCCCCTCAAAGGCTCTGGCGGGTAATGGCTTGATGAAGGTGTCGCGAGTAGCGGCGGAGAAGCAGTTCGTGCACCACCACCGCTAGACAAGCGATTCCTTCCAATAGGAATACTATTCGTTCCAGTCACTTTTATTTGCCGTTCGCCTTGCCTCCTGGGTTCTCTTCGTGCCTTTAAACGCGTCAACATACACTTTGAAAAGATCTAGATAACTACTCACCCTCTCAGGAGGTGGATGGGATGCAGGCTGCGGATTTTCAGGATACCGAACTTGCCCATCCGGGTTCGAGTTCAGATTCGCTCCCCACAGTCTAGCGATGGCCAGAGGAGGAGTCTGCTCCCTCTGTCTTCCGGTCGTCGGCGCAGAATCATACGTTGAAGAAGACCTCGTCGGGGACAAGGGTCTTCTCCTTTCCGCACCACGACCACCCTTCGAATTCGAAGTAGGCCCATCACCAGACGTCGACAGGTCCCTCTCAAGAGGTGCAGGCCTATAGGATGAACCCAAATCCCCAGAACGCGTGGAAGGTGCTCTCGATGCAGGTGAAGTATGTTCATCACGATCCATCTCCGTAGGAATGTCCAGAGGAGGTATGGACGACGACGTGGAGGGACCCCAGCTTTCACCATGGTCCCTCTCTCGCTCTCTCTTCAAATCCATATCCCTCACATCTCGCTCATGAACGCGAGGCAGAGGTTCTGCAGTGCTTGACCTGCCAGCATCATCCACTCTCAACGGAGTGTGTTCATGGTCGCGTTCAGGATGAGTTCCCGATGATTGACGGTAAGAATCACGTTCACGAGGAATAGAAGGCGAACCACCCTGTCGTTTGGGAGGAGGACCGTCCACATGCGGTGGCAAAGGTTTCGACCTCCCCCCTTTCCTTTCACGAAAGGTGGCGGATTGTGGCGGAAGCGGCGTCCTGTTACGACCTAAAGAATACGTGGAGGCATAGCGTAAGAGAGGTAGCAGAAAGAGAGATGGCGAGATTGTTGGGGTAAATGATAAAATATGGATGCTGGGGCAGGGGGTACATACGTGAAGGTGGTTGGCCCGTCCCATCTGTGGATGCGCTTCGGTGGTGCTCTGATGGCTCCTGGTCAAAGGTCGGACGAGGAGGAAGATGATCAGGAAGTGGCTTGCTCGGCAATGTAATTATTTGGACCTTAGGGGAAGTGGTTGCAGCTTCCTTCTGTTCGTGAGCATCTTGTTGACGATCTTCCTCTCCTTTGGGGTCCTGTAAAAACTCATCTGGAACGTGATTGGCTTCCTCCTGCTCTTGAATGGCACGCTTGATGGATTCTGGAATGGGTGGCGGTGCTAGTGAACCTGCTGGTTTTTTAGCAAAGCGAGACGCGCGTTCGCGGGGCCTCGCTGAAGCCAGCCCAGGATTTGATAGGACCGTCGGTGTCGGAAGGTCTTCTTCCAATTTCTGTTCTGTAGGCGAGGTATGCGAATTCGCATCGCTTGGACGACGGGGAGGTGACCTATATCCTGTGGTAGAATAAAGAAAACAGAACGACAGACATGAGGGACGAGTTCATATCATCTGAGAAGGGCAATCGGATGGAAGAAAAAAATAAACAGGGGTCCAAAGCAATGGTTCTTCCGTCGACAAGGCGGGGAGGAGGTACCGGCTCGTGTGAATAGAGGAGATTGGGATACAGAACGCAGCGGAGGGTCTCTACCAGGCTCCCTTTGAGACTGGGGAACAAGTTTTGGCCATGCTTGGAATAGATACGATGCCACACACGGACACGAGGAGGGATGATGGTATGAGGCTGATAACGTACTGGATGAGACTATGTCTTGGGTCTGCGAGCTGGGTTCCCGTTCTCGTGTTTCGGTGATATGACCTGCACGTTCCCTGCCAAGATCCGGACGAGCTTGATCGTCACTGAGTCTATAACGATCCACCCGCTCACGCCCTTCAGAGGGCGGAGGGTTGAACTGAGGAACTGATAGGTCGTAACCTGTATCAATGCTTCCGTTCGCCGGATGTCTAGGAGAATGCGCCCTGTAGGCCCTGCGTGGAGGTTCAGTGCTTGAAAACGGTTCAAGCTCTCTAGGAGGAATTTTATCTGTGTTAGTACGCGCGCCCCGGCTTTGGCGCTGTGAGTTCCGCGGGCGCTGTTCTCTTCCGCGAGGCGCCTGATGCAATGGTTCCGGTTCCAGGCTCGGTGAGCGTCCGCGCTCAAAGATTCGGTCACGGTGACCCGAGAGCATTGGTGGAGGCGTTACAGACCGAGGACGCCTCTCTGGCTCGTAGATCCTATCATTTCGCCTGTCATCTGGTGAGGGATTGAGGTGGTCGCCGGCACCAGGCCTATAGTGCCGATCTTCAAAGGATAAATCTGACAACTGAGAATTCTTGGGAGTATGTTCTTGAGGACGAGCAGGACGCTGTGACTGCAAACGGTCAGGAGTTGGTGAACGGAGAGGCTTGTCTCGCGCCGACACGCTATTCCGGCGAGCTCGATCACCGTTAGTCCAAACTTCCTCTCTGCTAACTTCGACAGGACGCGTCCAGGTGGATACGTGTGTCCGGGTATTGTAGAAATAGCCTTCTCGTCCGCCACCGCGTGGATAACGGACCTCCCAATCGGGAGGTAATTCCGATTCTTTGTTTGAAAGCGGTTTTCCTGAGCCTGTAGTAGGAAGGGTAGTCGAGGACCCATTCTGTTTTCCGTTTTTAGACTCACGGCCAGCAGAGCTTGCCATAGCAGTGGCTTCTACGATAGAAGGGTGAGATGGAGGGAGATACGGAAGGGAGGCGGCAATTGGTTTTGGGGGTAGAGCATGTGTGAGACGAGGTTGTCGGAGACTGGGAGAGACATTGTGGTCGCCCAGGTTTGATGCCCCTCTTCTTGGCGATTCACTCGAAGCTGGTCCCCGAGGGGAACCCTCTGCGCGACTTTCTACAGTGGCTCGGGGAACTTGAGCTGATGGATGGGTAGAGACCACAGGTGGTT